CAATGGTACACACATTTGGGCAACTCGTCTAAATACCCCTTCCATACAACCTTTGCTGTCACAATCTCGCCTAACTCCTGATTTTACTACTTTTTGAAGCTTTATGTCTATGTATATACGCCAGGTTTTGTTTACTGTTTTCTTCGCCACTTTATCACTTTCTTTATTCGTCTTAGACCATACGCCCGATATTATCGTGAACTGTTTCTTTGCCCCACTTCCTTGCGGTGCCTGTTTACAAGAGTTAATTTGAAGGTCTAATGTAGGACACAGATTAGTTTGTCCAAATTCTCAGGTCAGAAGTCTGATTTCGTTACATCAGACCTGGTTTCGAAGTGGTGCAATGACTAATTGTGATAAAGTAGAATTTCTATCTCATCAAGTCTCACATTCATTAAAATGTCCAGTGACCGAAGGTTTGCAAATGAGACATTTCTGAATGACAAAAAAATTATTTCATTGACTTCGGGGCCTTCCGCGTCTTTCTGCAAATGACCTTTGCTGAATTATCATCTCACCTGCAATTTTTCGGAAATGTTTTTTTTTTCATGTGTTGTTTGTCCGTTTCTTGACTTCGCTCAACGGATCTGGGTGCGGTTCTAAATCGTCCACTACGACATTTCCTTCTTATTCGTTGATGGTAATGACTGAAGGAATTCGAATCGTAATTCTGTCGCTACGAGAAGACAAATCATTTTGACAGATGCTAGAGAACACTGTCATCTGGAATCCATTTGCATGCATGGAAATCAAAATTCTTTAAATACACAGTGGGGTGACTCCAGCTGAAACTCGCTACTCTCAGCACTCAGTGGTAAACATCGATGATACCAGATTTCATGCCTATAAGGCATCTTAATACTTGTTCATTTACATCTTGAGGTCCACTGCAGAATGCACTTAAATCCTGGTTCGACTGAATTGAGCTCGACAGTACCGAGGACGCCTTAAGAATAAGCTCATTCCACCAGGAATGATACACAAGAACACCCTTCCGCTCTCCTTTACAAGCACTCTCTTTTATGGAGTGGTCTTGATAAGTTGGTGAGGAAAAAACTNAATCCTGGTTCGACTGAATTGAGCTCGACAGTACCGAGGACGCCTTAAGAATAAGCTCATTCCACCAGGAATGTTACACAAGAACATCCTTCCGCTCTCCTTTACAAGCACTCTCCTTTACGGAGTGGTCTTGATAAGTTGGTGAGGAAAAGACTCACCAAATTGTCAGAGACCACTCTATGACGAAAAGTCCGCGACATGAAAGTGTCTGCTGGTACGTATCATTACCTGTGGAATGAGCACACTCGTTGTGACATTGTACTCTCGCACGCATATCAGAAGGTGTGCTTCGTGCTAAGTTACCTCAAGCAAATGCCTCACAAGGTTGGCAAGTTATGGACAAAACTTTGGCCTCGGCTGGGACTCGAACCCGTACTTGTGCTTTACGGGTACCGCGCTCTATTCCTTAACTACCGAAACCCCGCTTGGATAGTATGTCAAAGCTTTCAGCTTATGGTTTAGTGCTGGTATAGGTCGACGGGTTCAACACGTTGTACTGTGAGTGCTGATAAGCTACGGCATATAAGCCATTAAGAAGGCGAGGGCAAGCGGGGTCTCGGTAGTGTAAGGGATAAGAGCACGGTCCCCGGAAGAGACAAGTACGGGTTCGTGTCCCGTCCGAGACTGAAGTTTTGTCCATGAATCGCCAACCTTGTGAGACTTTCGCAACGCATACTGCGGCGATAAAACAGCAGTTGACAAAACATCAAGTCAATTCAAGCAAATGCATTTGTGAAGTACTTCTGACGAAGAAACATAGGAAGACTTAAAATAGAGTCATTAAAAAGACACAATAGCGACTCTGCGTCCTTCGGGGAAAGAGGGACGTGAATGTTCGGAGTGGGCAGTCTTTTCCAAAACATTTTTCGGGAGTTTCAAAGTAGAACGAAGGGAAGATAAGCTGACATGGTCATAGTCTTAGCACTTCGAGTAGTTCGCTAAATAAAGGCTTGGCGTTGCTGCAATCTCAACAAAACATTAGCATAGAAACCACAGTAGAATGGTGACATTACTGTTTTGACGGTTTCGCGCATCCTTACCCCAACAGTTTCAGCCTTGTTCAATCGGATATCGATAAACGAGCAAAGGCGTACGTTCATCTTCATTCCAATGAAGCTTTTTTTTGAATATGCATATTTGCAGTATCTACGTAAGTAAGTGATACTATTACTGTGTCAAATGGCGAGCTCTTGCTCCACCGTTCGAACTATTTCCAAGAGAAATGTCTAGCATAGCGGACGCAGAGAATACTGCAAGAATACGGGGAACGTCCGTTGCGCGCGTCCGTCGAAAATAGGTTACCCAGCCCACTTCGCGCGCGGCGCACCCCACTGAGGTCTCGGGGTGATAGTACCATCAAGTGTCAATGGAGCGAATAATGCATTTGTCCGTGTTACCTTCTCTTTGACTGATTGCAGTGGATCAAGCGCAAATTGTATGCCCCACTAACAACTGCGACATCTGTCAAGGATCGCGGGTGCACCCGCCGCATGCGACGGGCAACAGACGCGCGCAACGAATCAACGAGCCATCAGTAATTCTGCAACACAGTCCTACTCATGAGTGCTGATAATTACTTTACGAGCCTCAGGTTAAGTTTTGATTATGACTATCACAACCAGACTTTACGTGAGTCACCCTAATACTCCCATCATTTGTAGAAAGAACAAGATTGTTTTTGAGAGAAGAAGCTACTACCATTAGATTCTGAAGGTGCCATTCAGAGTCAACCTTGCGGGGCGAGTCAGAGTTTGTTCGATCGAGACTTTTATAAATTAGAGGTTATACTAAACTTTTTAAATATATAACTTGTACCGATATCAACATTTCCGAAGTCGGAGCAGTTTAATAGCAAGAGTACTCTTCGCTGACTCCCTAATAAACACCGCCTAACCGATTGTGTTGAGTTACCAGTAAGAAGTCATTATACAGAATCAAAAACCACTTCTCATATGCTTGCTTTGGTGCTGGTAAATATCAGAAACCAAACTCTAACTCTCGAAAAGAAACCTACGCATAAGTAGAACCCACGAATGGGACAGGNCCGAAGTCGGAGCAGTTTAATAGCAAGAGTACTCTTCGCTGACTCCCTAATAAACACCGCCTAACCGATTGTGTTGAGTTACTAGTAAGAAGTCATCATATAAAATCAAAAACCACTTGGCATATGCTTGCTTTGGTGTTGATAAATATCAGAAACCAAACTTTAACTCTCGAAAAGAAACCTACGCATAAGTAGAACCCACGAATGGGACAGGAAATCCTTTCTGCACATTTAGAACGCCGAAAATCCATTTAATTTTCAAATCAAAAGGAAATAAAAAGTATGGCTCGCTTATTGCTGACCACTACACACCAAGGAAAACTACACGATCCTGATTTTCATTTCCTTTTCAGCCTGGAGTGACAGACCTGCCAACTGATGCTTTTCCTGGTGCTTCCTATCCAAAGCTGCAACGATGGTTTTCGCTTATGAGATCAATGCCAGAGGTATCATACCAACTGCCGACAAAACTATAAAAAAACGAGATTTTTGCAGGTGAAAGCGGTAAGCCAACCTGTATGGCGACACCGACTGTTCAATCAAGGATATGTGCTCGGGAATCCCGACTATGATGCAGGAATGGGTATCCGCCGACATGACTAATTGGCGACTCCTAGCGATTTTTTCTAATATACTCGTTAAAATTAGGAGCTGTCCAGCGGTCCAAGTAGACCGGCTTAATGACGGCTGAGGGAATTCTACATTTGCAACACAGTGACTAGATGAAATTTCATTCCTTTGCCTTCCGAGAAGTTTTGAGTTGAACAGGTTCACCTGAGTTTTCTACTATCCTTCGACGATTTCCCTGTCCCCTGTCTCACTGTTTAATTTGTATACCAGCTTCAAATTCTAGAGTAAACACATTATTCAGCACAGTTTACGCATTTCTATCTGATTGCCTCTCTCATATACACCACCACTGCTACGCGTAGAATCATTTTTAGGCGGAGATAAATTTCTGAAGTACTCAGAAATATGGCCAACGTTTTTCGAAGGAACGTCCGCAGCGAATGATTGTTGATTGATTGTCTTTTTCACGACAACGTTCGACCGCATGTTGTGAAACTGTATCTCCAGAGAATTGCTAAACTTGGATGGGAGGTGCTGCCCGATCCTCCTTATACGCCAGATCTTGCTCCGTCCGATGACCATTTATTTCTTGCTCTTGAAATCATCTTCGCGATAGAAAACTTGATGACCGCTGGAAACTCGAAACTGAGATAACTAGCCTTTTCAAATTCGGGCCACGACCGCAGTTCTGGGTTTTGAAGATCGAAGAACTGCCGGTTCGTTAGACACATGTGTGTTGTGGACCATGGCGGAGATTATATTAATGATTGTGATACTTTTCTAGTGAAAGTGTGATTTCTAGAAATAAAGATAAAAAATTGACTGAAACTTCTTACTCTACCTAATACCTCAATGAAACTTCAAAAGAACAAACGATTTTAATCTGGTCTTATTGCACGATATCTACTAGCACCATGATGTGTTAGATGCCTTCATCTGAAATCTCGGCCAAGACGTTATCAATTTCATTCAGCTATCGTGTCGGCCAGTCGCCTTCGACAAAAGGTGGAATTCAANACAGGTATAAGTAACCTCACAGCTTAGTGAAAGAAATAGAGGTCCGACAAAGAGAGCAGTTGTGAAGCTCGCGGTGCTCTATGCCATTGTTCACCACTAGTCGGAAATCATGAAAAGCAGCTCACATTTCCTATAAGAAAGTCATCTTAATCTTAACACACTGCCAATTTCAGTAGAAACTGCAATTTAACAACAGTACCTTACATACAGTACCTGCTGAGATGCCTACAACGCTAGGAGCACAGGAGGCAGGATGGGAACACTGATGATAGGTGGTAGGAAATGACTGAGCTGGACTCCTCGTGTGGGATCTGGGGGAAGAGTGACGGAAACGTAGATGTATTGAGGGAACAGAACGTGTGTGAGGGCAATTTGAGCAAAATGCGAAGTCAGATTGTAATAAGTGGCAAATGCACTGATTCATTCGACTTGAACAGGACTCCTTAATGGCTTGTGACGAGTGGGTCGCGCACGAAGTGTGTAGGGCATATGTTTGGCCGGAAATTATAGTAACTCTGATTTCCTGGGCCGTGGACCAGAGTGTTCAAATATGAAAGCTATGCAAGCGACTGGTCAATTCTGTCATGAAAGGGAGAAGCGCCCAGCCTCAGCTGGGAGTTCTGACTGCTATAATAATAACAATTCTAATAATAAGAATTCTGATACTAGTCCAACTAAGGCTTCCAATCGTTCGGGGTCAATCAGTCGATACCAGACTCGTCTGGAAGAATAAAAGTAATAACCGCAAAGCAAGCGTCTGCTGGTCACCGCGAGCCGTTGTGAAGGCTGCATACGCATTCAATACCCCACTACGATTTTGAAGGAAGTAGAATGCGTAGGCGCATCCCTCAGACGGGATTATTTATCGCTCCAAGACTTTATCATTAACCCATTGGCGACTGCGCCATTTTAGCGTGTCTGGCGTGTGGGACCGAGCGCACTTTTCGCGGGCTGCTGCTGTGGCCCGCTGGCGGACCACACGGTCCCAGGAGCAAGTCAATTTCTTCGTAAGCATTTCCAGCCGACAAAAAAGTTTTTAATGTGACATGTAAAGGTTACAAGTCACACATACTATTTAGAGCTACATTATGGCATCTGATGTTGTTTCTGATTGTTCGAAGGGAGGTGAGAGTTTTTACCAAATCATTTCCAAATGCGAGTCTGTCTAGACAAGAGGATACAGACAAGATGAGAATGGCATGTTTCGAATCATCAGATACCCAGCAAAGTCCCTTTACATCCTTTTTGCACCTTTTTACAACCTTTGGTTTTCCTCCTTTACCAATGCCCTCAGAAGTAACTTTGTTTTCTCTTATTACTGAAGTGAGAAGTAAACGTTTTACGGACCACTGCGCGTCAAGATTCTATAGTAGCTCATAAACCTGCTCGATACTGAAAAGGGTCAGAAAAATCAAAAATGAATGTTATACATACAAAATAATACTGTGGCACGTATGCGGACCACGCGGTCCCTGGAGCACGACAGGGCGTGGCCCGTATACGGGCCACGCGGTCGTCAATGGGTTAATAATTCTGGGATACCCCGTACTTTTACTTTCGATCGGCGATTTACTAATGTTTTCTCTTGTGATTAATTATTTGCGTCAGCTTCCTGAAATTTCAAAAAGATTTCAGAAGTACGGCGCATCGATGATGGTGATCTTACACTACATGTTTAGTCGTGAAGCAAGAAAGAGTTATAAGAACGGAGCCCATTGTTTTAGAGCGGTCCGATTCTCCGGAAATTTCCACCTGCTTTTTGAGTTACTATGGCGTGAGGAAGGTTTACGAGGAAATTATGCGTGGATACAAAGTGGATGAGATGACAGACCTAACCGGAATTTGCGCCGAGGTATGATTGACACCTGCTCTGTGCACTACACTTTGTGACATAGTTATCCTGGTCCAGTGAAGTTGAACCACTCCACTGCCCCTCGATCTTTTCAATGGGAGTGAGTGAAACGTGGATATGTCTAGCAAAAGTGCATTTGATGCAATTTGGGTATCATTCGGTTATCGAAGGTCGAGGTTAAGCTATGTAACTGGTAATTTGCTAAAAACCTCTCTGCCAGAAGTTCTCGGAATTCGTCGGATGTACATATATCACCTGTATCACCTGTCGTCCTGTTGATCATCGACTTCCTCAAGCGAGCGCCGTAACGTCTCCATTCGTGCCTGTCACGAGCAGAGTGGTTCAGTGAATCGTCCTCACTCCAGGGGCACGAGGTTCAACATTCAGATCTTTCGTGAAGAAATCTGACCATCTCGTAGGCGGTCGTCCTGGAGTTCGTTTGATGTCCCGAGGGATTTAGTCAGTACTGTCCTGGTCCAACGGTCATCACTATATCGCATAACGTGTCCGGCCCACCTGATCTTCG